TCAGTTGCCTAATTGGTGTTCTCAGTGCACCAATTACTAACAGATATTAGTTCTACATTCATATTCCTTAGCTCTTCAGTTGCCTCTTCTCAGTGCACCAATTACTAACAGATATTAGTTCTACATTCATATTCCTGGTCTTCAGTTGCTCAGTGTTCTCAGTGCACCAATTACTAACAGATATTAGTTCTACATTCATATTCCTTAGCCTCTTCAGTTGCCTAATTGGTGTTCTCAGTGGTAATTACTAACAGATATTAATTCAGTTCTACATTCATATTCCTTAGCCTTCATTTGCCTTCAGTTGCCTAATTGGTGTTCTCAGTGCGCAATTACTAACAGATATTAGTTCTACATTCATATTCCTTAGCCTCTTCAGTTGCCTAATTGGTGTTCTCAGTGCACCAATTACTAACAGATATTAGTTCTACATTCATATTCCTTAGCCTCTTCAGTTGCCTAATTGGTGTTCCAATGCACCAATTACTAACAGATATTAGTTCTCATTCATATTCCTTAGCTTCAGTTGCCAATTGGTGTTCTCCACACCAATTACTAACAGATATTAGTTCTACATTCATATTCCTTAGCCTCTTCAGTTGCCTAATTGGTGTTCTCAGTGCACCAATTACTAACAGATATTAGTTCTACATTCATATTCCTTAGCATCTTCAGTTGCCTAATTGGTGTTCTCAATTGCACCAATTACTAACAGATATTAGTTCTACATTCATATTCCTTAGCCTCTTCAGTTGCCTAATTGGTGTTCTCAGTGCACCAATACTAACAGATATTAGTTCTACATTCATATTCCTTAGCATCTTCAGTTGCCTAATTGGTGTTCTCCAATTTTAATTACTAACAGATATTAGTTCTACATTCATATTCCTTAGCCTGTTTGACCTAATTGGTGTTCTCAATTACTAACAGATATTAGTTCTTTCATATTCCTTAGCCTCTTCATTTGGTGTTCTCATATTCTATTAGTTCTACATTCATATTCCTTAGTTGCCCAGATATAAATTGGTGTTCTCAGTGCAATTCAATTACCAACAGATATTAGTTCTACATTCATATTCCTTAGCATCTTCAGTTGCCTAATTGGTGTTCTCAGTGCACCAATTACTAACAGATATTAGTTCTACATTCATATTCCTTAGCATCTTCAGTTGCCTAATTGGTGTTTCTCAGTGCACCAATTACTAACAGATATTAGTTCTTTCATATTCCTTACATTCATATTCTCAGTACCAATTACTCTCACATTCTTTCTAGTGCACCAATTACCAACAGTTGCCTACATTCATATTCTCAAAATTCAGTTGCCTAATTACTTCTTAGAATATTTACTTCAGATATTAGTTCTGTTCATATTCCTTAGCCTCTTCAGTTGCCTAATTGGTGTTCTCAGTGCACCAATTACTAACAGATATTAGTTCTACATTCATATTCCTTAGCCTCTTCAGTTGCCTAATTGGTGTTCTCAGTGCACCAATTACTAACAGATATTAGTTCTACATTCATATTCCTTAGCATCTTCAGTTGCCTAATTGGTTGTTCTCAATTTCCTTAGCACTTCATTACTAACAGATATTAGTTCTACATTCATATTCCTTAGCCTCTTCAGTTGCCCTGGTGGTGTTCTCAGTGCACCAATTACTAACAGATATTAGTTCTACATTCATATTCCTTTAGCCTCTTCAGTTGCCTAATTGGTGTTCTCAGTGCACCAATTACTAACAGATATTAGTTCTACATTCATATTCCTTAGCCTCTTCAGTTGCCTAATTGGTGTTCTCAGTGCACCAATTACTAACAATATTAGTTCTACATTCATATTCCTTAGCCTCTTCAGTTGCCTAATTGGTGTTCTCAGTGCACAATTCTCAGACATTCATATTAGTTCTAATTGGTTCATATTCCTTAGCTCTTCAGTTGCCTAATTGGTGTTCTCAGTGCACCAATTACTAACAGATATTAGTTCTACATTCATATTCCTTAGCATCTTCAGTTGCCTAATTGGTGTTCTCAGTGCACCAATTACTAACAGATATTAGTTCTACATTCATATTCCTTAGCCTCTTCAGTTGCCTAATTGGTGTTCTCAGTGCACCAATTACTAACAGATATTAGTTCTACATTCATTTCTTAGCCTCTTCAGTTCCATTGCCTAATTGGTGGTGTTCTCAGTACTTACTAACAGTTGTTCTACATTCATATTCCTTTGGTGTTCAAGCCAATTACTTCAGTTGCTAGCATCTTCAGTTGCCTAGTTGCAGTACCAATTACTAACAGATATTAGTTCTACATTCATATTCCTTAGCTTCTTCAGTTGCCTAATTGGTGTTCTCAATTAATTACTAACAGATATTAGTTCTACATTCATATTCCTTAGCCTCTTCAGTTGCCTAATTGGTGTTCTCAGTGCACCAATTACTAACAGATATTAGTTCTACATTCATATTCCTTAGCCTCTTCAGTTGCCTAATTGGTGTTCTCAGTGCACCAATTACTAACAGATATTAGTTCTACATTCATATTCCTTAGCCTCTTCAGTTGCCTAATTGGTGTTCTCAGTGCACCAATTACTAACAGATATTAGTTCTACATTCATATTCCTTAGCATCTTCAGTTGCCTAATTGGTGTTCTCAGTGCACCAATTACTAACAGATATTAGTTCTACATTCATATTCCTTAGCCTCTTCAGTTGCCTAATTGGTGTTCTCAATTGCCAATTACTAACAGATATTAGTTCTACATTCATATTCCTTAGCATCTTCAGTTGCCTAATTGGTGTTCTCAGTGCACCAATTACTAACAGATATTAGTTCTACATTCATATTCCTTAGCATCTTCAGTTGCCTAATTGGTGTTCTCAGTGCACCAATTACTAACAGATATTAGTTCTACATTCATATTCCTTAGCCTCTTCAGTTGCCTAATTGGTGTTCTCAGTGCACCAATTACTAACAGATATTAGTTCTACATTCATATTCCTTAGCATCTTCAGTTGCCTAATTGGTGTTCTCAGTGTTCTACATTCATATTCAATTACTAAATAGATATTAGTTCTACATTCATATTCCTTAGCCTCTTCAGTTGCCTAATTGGTGTTCTCAGTGCAAATTACTAACAGATATTAGTTCTACATTCATATTCCTTAGCATATTCAGTTGCCTAATTGGACTTCAGTTGCCTCTTCAGTTGCCTAATTGGTGTTCTCAGTGCACCAATTACTAACAGATATTAGTTCTACATTCATATTCCTTAGCATCTTCAGTTTGCCTAATTGGTGTTCTCAGTGCACCAATTACTAACAGATATTAGTTCTACATTCATATTCCTTAGCATCTTCAGTTGCCTAATTGGTGTTCTCAGTGCACCAATTACTAACAGATATTAGTTCTACATTCATATTCCTTAGCATCTTCAGTTGCCTAATTGGTGTTCTCAATTGTGCACCAATTACTAACAGATATTAGTTCTACATTCATATTCCTTAGCCTCTTCAGTTGCCTAATTGGTGTTCTCAGTGCACCAATTACTAACAGATATTAGTTCTACATTCATATTCCTTAGCCTCTTCAGTTGCCTAATTGGTGTTCTCAGTTGCACCAATTACTAACAGATATTAGTTCTACATTCATATTCCTTAGCCTCTTCAGTTGCCTAATTGGTGTTCTCAATTGCACCAATTACTAACAGATATTAGTTCTACATTCATATTCCTTAGCCTCTTCAGTTGCCTAATTGGTGTTCTCAGTGCACCAATTACTAACAGATATTAGTTCTACATTCATATTCCTTAGCCTCTTCAGTTGCCCAATTGGTGTTCTCAGTGCGCAAATTACTAACGAATATTAGTTCTACATTCATATTCCTTAGCATCTTCAGTTGCCTAATTGGTGTTCTCAGTGCACCAATTACTAACAGATACTAGTTCTACATTCATATTCCTTAGCCTCTTCAGTTGCCGAGTCCGATTCTGGTATTTTTCAATCTTTTCAAGATTAATACAGAATATCTGTTTGGCTGGAATGTTCTTAGTTTATAGATAAATTTAATGTTCTACAAACCTCAAGAACTGAACTTTCCAATCGGGTATCACCATTTAATCCACTTGGGAAAGGATTAACAGTTTTTACAGAAGGAAGAGGATTTAAATTATTGTCAAAGGATTAGGAATTATAACAATTTATGTTTCACTGTTCATAGATTTTTATATACTGAAAAATAATTGTAAATATTGAGTTTGAGACAATAAGTAGCATAGGCTTTACGAAAGATAAATTACATAAATTATAACATGCTGGTAATATCATTTATATCCTAAAGTTTTTGAAGTATATAAATTTTTTTTTTTTTTTTTTTAAATCTACAAAAGTTGACCAAATTTCAAACCCCTCATGCATGCATTCAAAATCCTCTTCTAATGATTCAGAAACATCTCCAATCTTGATTATGAGCCTTTTTTTTCTTTTTTAAATCAACAGCATCTAACTCATTAAATAAAATTGTATACACCAATTATTATAATTCTATAAATCATAAGATAATTAGACTTATTAAAAAAATCATATTTAACTATTTACAATATTTACATTGTTGTTCTCATCTTTATTGTCAGTCACATTTTGGCCATTGTATGCTCTGGCCTTCTTCAGGTGATATATGTTGGAATTTCAAACCAAACTCCTTATTTCGTTCACTCAGGTAGAATGTTCTTGTTCCACATGCCATGCCTTTTCTGGATCTCAGTTAACTCCCCATTAGTAGCTCAACTCTCCAAATTTTTGTTCACCTCTGCTATGGCCAGGTATTGAACTCATTCTTTGGGTAAAGTCACTAGATTATTTCAACCATTGCTTTTATCCACTGTCCAAACAGTGTAAATAGTTACACTACCTCCTCTTGGAAGTATTGACAGATATTTATTCAAATCATTTTGCAAGAGGGTATCAAATATCCTCTTGCTAGGTATCAAATATCTAGCACTCACCTTCAACAACTTTAATTACAGTATTATCTTTCAAACTTTCAATAGTTTTTAATTCTGCAAAATTGTCTAATGTTGTTCCATCCACTTGCAAAGAAAAACAAGTTCTGTGACAAGTATCTTCACGGTCCATTAAAACTTGATGAATCTCCTGTACAAGCTCCATGCAGCTGACCTGAAAAGTTAAAAAAGTTTTAAGTGTAAACTGGGATCTAATTTGTATTCAAACTAAAAGAAAATATTAGTCTTTCAATGAAACCAATGTAATACTATACAAAAATTTCAAATACCTTATGTATGCCATTAGTACCCAACAAAAAATTATTATTTGACATTTACTAAGCTTAATGTTGTACAAAATTAAACAGAGATAAGGAAAGTGAATTGCATCAGTTGTTCAAGTGAAAAGGGGCTTGTATTAAAAACAAGTATTCAAAATCTGCTTTTATTTAAACCTGGATACTGATTCTAATAAGGATAAGAAATACACAACTAAAGTGTGTTTCAATAATTTGGACCAATTTTAAATTGAATCAATTTTAAGCATCTAATGATTTTTTTTTTTTTTTCAGATTTAACAACTTAAGTCTTTGGCAATTTCAACCATGGAAAGATTAACAATCAAACAACATGTTAAAGTTATTGAAGCCCATTACAAAAATGAATGTTCAAACAGTATTTGAATGAGAAATTCACAGATTGCATCATCTCTCAAAACAGTGAAGTTAATTGGCCACCATGATCACATGACTTGACACCTTCAGATTTCATTTAGGGTCATCTCAAAAGTAAGGTCTATGCCAACAATTCAATAGTTGAAGGATGAAATAATTAGGCATATTAGTAAGATCAAGGAGCAACTATGTAGAGATGTCATCAAAAATTATGACCATCAAGTGGAAGTGTGCCACTGAAGCTTTTTTTTTTTTTTTTTAACACATAATTGCCATGACTTAAATAATATGATCCAATAGAGAAATAAATTTTCACCAATAACACCGATTTATTTATTGCTGACTTTGATCCATCTCAATGAAACACCCTTTATTAGAGCTACAAGGCAGGCACATCACATTTAATAAACTACTAAATTTGAACTGTTTATAAATTCTTAAACAAGTTCAGACACTATTCTACAAATATTTCAAAGAGAAGTTTGATTGTTTTTTTTTCATATTTTTAAAAAGCAGAAGTGACTTATTTACAGACACCTTCACTGAAATTCAGATTTTATTATATATAAAAAGTTTGTTCAATTTTCTATTGTATTTATTTTCAATTTTTGAATCTGGTATTGAGTATTATACTTGGAATTGTGGATAACCTGTTGAAAGCTCAGTGTTTTGTTCAATTACTTTCAGGCATCTCAGTCATTTTCAAGAAGCAATCTGGTAAGCAGAACTCCATTAACTACATCCTGGTATTCTTTGGAAAGCTGGAAGTACTAGTTTTTCAGATCTTTGTTGCAGGATAGTTAATCAAAACTTGTTTGTAGAGATTTCTCTCTCAAAAAGGTACACCCAAAAAAAAAAATAAATAAATAAAAAAATCATTGAATATAAGTAGTCAATTGCTGATATTTCCTGATGAGTGGATAGAGTGATTCCGTCTATGAAATTCTGAAGTTGGGATGCTGAAGGTAAAATCACTCAGCTAAGTGACAAATACATACATCACTTAGCTGATATTATATTAAGCACCTCAACTCTTGAGTTTCATAAACAAACATTTTGAAAAATCATTCAGTCCATTCATCAGGAGGGATCAGTTGCTGATTATCACATTTGTGTTTTTTTATATTAAGTTAAAAGGGATTTACACACTTTTTTATTATTGGTGTTAATTTTTTTTTGCTTTTCTTCATTGCATGTGTGTACACACACGATACTATACATTACATGCGTGTGATGAATAAAAATAACATACATGTATGTTACAAGATACATATGAATATGCAGGTAGCATAATGAGCCAAATTCACATTCTGTCCGAGCTCAGAACATTAACACAAGCATGAAAGGTATCCATCTCTTCCAGCGAGGAGCTAAAAAGCAAGGCAAACAGTTCTCTTGGCAACCCATCTAAGAGAAGGAAAACTTAATTAAAACCTAAGGTGGGCTGTTTAGGAGACAAATGTTGCTGTGTGTCATGCTCAATTATTAATTCTTTAAAACAGCGAGACTGGCTCAAAAAAAAAAAAAAAAAAAAAAAAAAAAAAAAAATTTCAGTCCAAAGATAAAAATCAAAATATTTTCTGCAATATTTTTTTTTTTTTTTTTACTCATTATTCACACCTGTTCAAGAGCTGAGCAAGTTTTCAAACATTTCGCAGATTAAGTTATATTCACCTTTTTTTTTTCTTTTTTAAACATTTCACCTCAAGCAAGGCAATAAAGCCACTAAGATGCAAGGGGTTACAGAGAGAAAGAATAGGAAAAAAATGAAACCGTAAGGAGATAGAATAACAGGAGTTAAGAAAAAAAAGATAACAATTGACATTACATTTAAATTTTAAAATTAGAGTTGACTGGAAAGCAAGAAGCCAGAGATTACCCCAAGTCAGAAGTGCAAGAGAAAAAAAAAAAAAAAAATGTTGCAAGTTTGTAACAGCAGTGAGCTTTACAATGGAGTCTTTTCAGCAGAAAGTCACTTTGGTCTTTTATGACATAAGTATATTTAGTACTATTATTAACAAGTACCATAACAATTGTAATTATAACACTAAAAATTGTTATTTGAACACCTAACAAATTAATGGTTAGTAAATGAGTATAATGTAAAGACTATAAACAGATTCAAAGATTTCACATAAGACAATAAAAAATGCAATATAACAAGACAACTTTCAAAAAAACATTTTTTTTTAAGCATTCTGGGACATAAAAGTCATTATAAACAGAATAAATGAAGATAAATGCCATTAAGTAAATCAAATTTTGTCAAGTTGAAATCACAGTATACGTATCTATAAAATAAGTTCATTAATAAAAGCCATACATAAAAGTAGATTCAAGTGGGGGAGGGGACCTAAATTAAGGACTACATTTAGAAAACGAGTGATAAAAAGGTCAGAATTTATTATGTTGTTCAGAAAATAGTGTCCAATTTTATAATCAAATTTTATTCTTGAATTAATGTTTAAATCAGTCAAAAATAAGAACCCTTATTATCACTGTTATCAGTTTAAAAAGGTTATTTATGCCTTTACAATAAAACTCTAAAGGATTAGATGTCAAAAAATATTTAAATGTAGTTTGATCTTTGCAAAAGAATGTCTTCTGGCTTAAAAAAAAATAAAATTGTCAAGACGCTTGAAAAAGTGGTAGTCAGTTGACAACAGATCAAAGGAATTGGTGAATGTGGCAAAGCCTCATATGCCAAAGTCAGTGAGCTTCTGTAGAGTCATGAAGCAGAAACGGTTCTGATCAATTAATCAGTGCTGGTTGCATTTTGCTTAACTGAATGTGCATTCCATCTAGTAAACTTTGGCTGTGATGCTCTGGTTAGATTCCAGAAAGCTCTCATGGATAATGCCAATGATAGTCTTCTGTTGGTGCAATTTTAGCTTTGGAAAATGTTTGGGTCCTATAATCCAAACATTTACAATTCTCATAAAAGATCCATTTATCATCATAATTCACTATTAAATCAAGATTTGATCATTTGAATTTTGCAAATACAGCACTGAACTCTTCAAAACTAACTTTCAGAGTTCATGTGGAATTCATTTCGTCTTGCCAATCTTCTTGAGATGGTAAGATATTGTTGAAATAATGACACCCATTATCCAATACATTTTGTCATGGGTTTTATTCAACTGTTTTCAGATGTTGATTGTTAACTACCACTTTGATCTCCAAGACTTGTATTTCCACTGAAGAACTTCAGAAACCAGAAACTGTCCAATCACAAGTGGATCCTTCACCCCATGCTCTGTTAATGTTGGAAGCAGTTTGAGAAACATTAGGACCAAGACTGAACTCATGAAAAAGTAAACATCTTTTTCATGTTCAAGATTAGAGGTATATGTTTTAAATTAAATTCTGAAAGTTTGATATAAAATTAACAAAGAGGACACTGATCATTAAGAATGAGTAATATATTTTATATAACTATTATAATATATTAGAACACAAAAAGGTTTATTCTAAAATTGAACATTTTCCAAACAAAATTCAGGAGATAGATATAAAATTAACAAAGGAAACTAACCACTAGGAATATAATATTTTTCTTAACTACTATAATCATATAAGAACACAAGATTTATTCTAAAAATCTGACATTTTCCCAACAATCTAATAATATTCTTAAAACAATCACATTATTCTTTACATAAGATAAAATTATAGTTTAATACAACAGTCAAATACACACACTACACACGTATAGCTTTGTACGAATTTAAACATTTTTTATTTGAGTAGGTGCTCCATTTATTAAACAGTATATTTATTCATTTTCAATTACTGGCCTGAATACTAAAAAAATATTTTTACAAAGAAAAATTAGCACCTTTCAGCAGGAATTAAAAATGCATCCCTCATGGAAGAGGGAACTATTGTTTAGCCATGCATGCCTTACTTCTTGGCCATAAAGAACAGATGGTCAGGCATGCAAGTTTCATGCAGGCTAATAAAAATCCATAAAAAAAAAAAAAAAAAAAAAAAAAAAATTATATTATATGAACTCTTTAGCTAATTTGAATTCATTAACTCCTATTCACTCAAAAAGTCAGTTTTTAGTTTTTAATACCTGAAAGAAAGGAAGTAATAGACCATACTAAATAGCAACTAAATTTGAAAAGGAATAAGAGTGATTTATTACAAGTTTTCCATGAATAAACTTGTAGCAATAGGATCTCTCACACATTCTTAGGAGATAAAAGGAAAAAGAATTTGTCTATTTAAGTCAATTTAATGACCAGGATTTTTCAGGAATCTTGTTTCCAGCTTACCTTAGAATTGGAAAATATAAATTTTTGTTAGTGATTTTAGATAATCATAAAAGTAGAGTCCTTTGAAAAACTTGACCACCCAAAAGCTGAATGGACGGTCTCCTTTTCTTGACCACAAGTAGATGCATAGGTTTAGTGGGACCCTAGCCAGTATCCAAATGAGGCAGGAAGTCAGTAGTCAGTGAGGAAAGAACCAGCAATGAATAAGTCAGTAGTCACAGAGACTGTCAGTTACTGAGTGTAAGGGCCCTTTTTCTGTGACCGGAAGTTAGTAAGATAGCAGAAGTTCACAAAGGAAGACATTGCCAATTAAGTGAGAAATTTTTATTGTTTATTACTTCCCAACCAGTATCTTGGAAAGCATTTGTCGTTATTCTTTGTTGAATTTGACCACAGCCTGCGAGACAAAACTGAACATAGCGAGCCAGGTGTATATGCATACAACTGATTTTGGATGTCAGCAGAGCTTTTGAAGTGACACACAGAAGACCATTGTCACAAACTAACAAAAAAGAATAAATTAGTTATATGTAAAAATAAATGTCTCAACATTATAATTATTAGAAGAAAATACTTACAGGCAAATCTATTGGATCCATTCCAGGAATAACGATCTTTACTGTAAATCCAGTATCTTGAATCAAGACAAATTCTTGGTCATCATTTTCTTTTTCTCCTTTAGTGTCCTTACCATTTTGATCAATACCATTTACGGCTTTGTGGTCATTAAAACCATTGACCTGCACATTCTTGGCATTTTCAGTAGACTGCGCATCATTCCATTTTACAACCACTTCACTGGCCATTTCTACCACTGAGAAAATAAAATTAAAAATAAAAATTTTTATTATATTAGCAAGTTAAGAAAACTACATACACTGACAAAAAAAAAAAAAAAAAAAAAAAAAACAAGATTGCAATACTAAGTGAATAGTTCCAATCAACTCAAGAAAAAACATACAAGCAGGGTCAGATTATAAACTTTTGGAGCACCCTAGGCTAATGAAATTATAGAGTACCCCTCAAACAAAGCTACCCTCACCTTTTTATTTTTTTTTTTTTTTTGACATTTATATAGTTTGATGTTAAATTATTGGTTTGGTTAGTTTTGTTTTACGGCATATCAACCTCAATGGGTCATTTAATACTAAAAAGATTTTTATTGCTGCTAATATTTTTTTTTCAAAAATCCATTTCTGGTAATAATCTTTCCTTCAAAAAATCCATTTCTAGTAATATTTTTTCCTTCAAAGATCTATTTCTGGTAATATTTTTTCAAAAATGTATAGCTGGTAATTTTTTTTTTTTTAAATTTATCAAAAGGTAATTTTTTTTTTTTTTCAAAAGTGTATTACTGGTATTCCCCCCACCCCCAAAGTTTCTTGTATTAAAACCTATTTTTACACTTTGATAGTGTTTTGACCCTAGTTTTTTTTTTTGGGGGGGGTAACTATTTGTCCATAGCTGGGACCCTAACATGTGCTACAATCCCAGGTGGAGGTGGACCTGGGAACACCAGCAATTAAGAGATAGTTCTTTGATGCTCCTCAAAACCTGATCAGAGGCCTTGCTGTTGGACATAGTTTATCATCTTACCCAGGATAGGTAAAAATATTGCTAATACTTTAAATAATAGCTATCTTTTGTTTGTCAATAAAAATATTCAATACCACTATTCTTTTTCTTTTCACTATCTGTTGCAAACCACATTTCAACAACTTTAGTAAAAAAAAAAAAAAAAAAAAAAAAAATATATATAACACAAAACAATGAAAGTAAACAAGTTTGTCACATTCATATCATTTCAGTTTATACAACTATTTAGAAGTTTCAATTAAAACCATTCCCTAATAAAGTCTTAAGAGCCCCTAAGCCGCAGCCTATACTTGACTAAAGGATAATATGACCCGATATACAAATAATATAGCCAGATAATAAATTATCAAATACACAGACCTCTTATTCTAGAACATTATCATAAAAAATATTCAAACTGTATAAATACCCTGTTTATCCTCTTTGGGTACTAAGACAAGTCTGTACTCTCCCATGCATATGATCATATAGATGTTTAATATCTTGCAATGTTTGATAATAGTACGGCAAGAATTGTTCGTAGAGAAGACAACTAAACAAATCAAGCATCATCCCATCATTTCCTGTAAATTTTCAATGGAGGATAGGTCTGGCATGTTTTAGAACATCTTTCAGTGCATGCTTAGTAGTATAGTCATCATATTGCAGGCCTTATCCTGCTGCAGGAATGGCAGGAGAACAGGTTAAACAATGTCCTGGATGTACATGGTACTGTTCAACTTAACTTTCTTTTACCATTTTTGGAAGTTTATTTATATGTCGCACCATAATGCCATAATATAAAATTGGTAGTAAATGTAAATTTTGGGTGTGGCCATAGGGGAAGCACCTGAACAGATTCTCTATATATCTTGGGTACATGCCAATGTCTGAGTCTCTGATCTTCCAGTTTATTTAGTTACATTGTCAGACCATTTTTTTTTCTCCCTCTTCTTCCTAATGGCAGTGGAAATAATGTTGGCTCTTATTACATGTCTATACCATTTCAACTTTCCCATCTTGACAGTGGATATGAAGTTTTTCAACGGGCCTGTTTCTCTTATAGTGTCTCACACTACATCTCTTGTTACACAGTCTTCATAGGAGATACTTAGTAACATGGTTCTGTAACATGTAATGCTCGGATTCTTCACTGTATTTCTGCTGTTAATGCCCAAGGTCTACAGAAAGATTGAGGAACCCAATGCAGGCAATAGTTTGATATTTGCTTTCAAGTAGATATCCTTGTCTTTTCAGATAGACCAACAACTGTTGCAAAATTGTACTGCCTTTGAAATTTATATATCTTTGGATCTTATCAGCATGGAAGAGAGGGTAGCCTATGTAATCACTATCATATATAATCACACACAAACAATTGGCAAGGCCTGCAGCTCAGAGAGGACACTGCTCTCACCGCCAAAGGACTGACTTAAGATAAAAACGTATAAAGATTGAGTTCAACACACAGTAGTAACAATTTGTTGCATGCTTAAACACAATATCCTTGATATTGGTCCATAGATATAGCAGTCAGTCAGCTATGTGCTGTTCGTGATACATGCTTAGGCAATCATGTATCTTTTGATACATGATTGATAAGGCACCCCCCCCCATACACACACACACTGTAGGTTGTAATTTCTTTCTGCAGTAGACCAGTTGCCATCCAAGGATATAGAACCCAGTCTGTCCTGCTATTTGGGATGGGAGAAGAGGATTCATACCTTTCCCAAAGGTATTAGCATGTAAGTGAATGTAATGGATTCAAATAGAATTCAAACTCAGCTATCCGATTCCTCAAGCTGAGCCACTCCACCATGAAAAGAAAGAGGGCTTTATGCTACATTCATTTCAGACATGAAAATTAAAAAAAAAAAAAAAAATTTTTCTGTTTATTGTTAAATAGAAATATTAAAATGACAACCTTTTCATCCAAAATTTGCCAACTGTTAATTACTATAAAACCCAGATTGTGTGTGTGTACATTTATATATTGGATCGGATTTCCTACATTTTTCAACCGATTTCAACAAAATTTCACAGGACTGCGTAAAATTACCTTGCGGTGGTTCTGACAGCGCCCAAAATTGGAAAAAAAATTGTTTTTGCACAAAATCAATTTGAAAACACGATTAAGTCACCAGAATGAAAGGCGGACAACTCATATCGAGTTATACTTATTATAAAACCCAGGTTGTTTGTGTGTGTTCCTTTATATGGGATCAGATTTCCTACATTTTTCAACCGATTTCAACAAAACATCACTTTTTTTTGGCAGGTAGTGTTTCTTATTGTCTTGCACACTTTTTTCTTTATTTTTACATTCAGAATGCTTTAAAAATTCCATTTACAAGACAATTGTCTATAATTCTATTCAATCGATAGACTCATAACGATTGAAAACAATGTTTTTGTTCAAGTTTTGGTTTGACCAATTCATAAAAAAAAAAAAAAAAAAAAAAAAAAAAAAAAACATGCGTGTCCGTCAACCTTAAACAATAATCTTTGTCAATTTTATTTTTCAGTCTTTATGAAGGTCGATACTTGATCTATCTCTTACTGTTACATCCCCCAGGCAACGCCAGGCTCTACTGCTAGTCTTTTATAAAAAGAAACTTTTTTTTTGTTATATATAAATAGAATTTTGAACTTATTCAAGCAAGAGATTCATTTATAAATTAATGCTCAAATTTATGAGAGGTGTAAAATTGTTTCACCAGGACAAATCTTGAAAGGTCAGTTTATTAAGCTGAGAACTGCTGACCAACTGCAAGAAAACAAAGTATGGTCATCAGCAAGAGAAAGCCCAAAATACGAGTTACATATTGGAGATGTAAACATCAAGCAGATGCAGAAGTTTAAATATTTAGAAAGTATTTTAACAGAGGAAAATGTGATACTGAGATTCAAACTTGCATTGGACTAGCAAAAGAAAGAGAGAGAGAGAGAGAGAGAGAGAGAAAAAAAAAAACAGAAACAAAGAGTACTGGATTGTTATGAGATATACATCCTCTTATATAGTAATGAATGCTGGGCAATATCCCCATGGACGAAAAAACTAAAAGCACTAGAAATGTGACTACAGGAGGATACTGAGAATTCCATGGACAGATCAATTAAGCACCAACAAAGTCTTAAAGATAAAAAAGTAGTGTAAATGGATGATGGAACAGAGGGCAGGGTTTAATAAAAAGGAGAAAACTGCTAAGAGTCACACAAGATAGGCTGCTATAGAGAGGAAGATTGGTATGTAGCATGGTGAGGGTTGAGATAGATTTGGGGTGGGGAACATAACCCCCCCCCCCACACCTAGCACCAGCACTGTTAAATCACAGCAAAGCCTGAGGACCAAGAAATAAGTTAATCAACCATTGGCATGTTTAAACTAAAGATTTACAATTTCATAAAAAAGGTAAAAAGAGTAGTTACTAATAAAAAAAAAAAAAAAAAAAAAAATAAGATGGATCAACAAAATATTACATTATCTATTATTTTGAATCATTTCATGCCAAACCAAGCAATAAAGCCACTACGATGCAAGGGGTTACCGAGTGTGAAGTAAAGCAAGAAAACAAAGTGGAAAGAACAATAAAAAATAAAGATTTAAAAAGACAAGGCAATTAATATTACATTTAAATTTTCAAAAGTTGTAACTGATAGGAAAGCAATAAGCCAGAAGAGATTAAACTGGTAATTAAGTCCAAGATTCTATTCCAGATCCTGTGATGAAAAGAAAAAAAAAAAAAAATCCATTTGAAAAATCGTGGCCATAAACATTTTCAATATTAGGCTAGGTAATGAGTTTAGAATAATTTCATGACATTTTAAAAAAAAAAAAAAAAAAAAAAAAAAATCTTATCTGAACTTAATGCAGAATTAGAGTAAGTTTGCAAGTCTTGACATGATGTTAAATGTCTGGGACTCAAGTGGTTTTTGTTAAGCAATCCAAAAAGAAAATAGGTTGGGGGGGGAGTGAAGCAATGTTAATTCAAAGTGGATGTCTATAAAATAACATTTATTCAGCAGTAATTTTTCTCCCACCCTGAACAACCCCAAAATGACGTCAGAATGATTGCTGGTGTGTTGCCAAATGCAGTGAAAAAGATTTGTGATCTTTTACTCCAATATGTAAACAAAAGACACATACTTCACATCATAAGAGAGCTTAAGTTTCTATGGTGCATAAAGAGGAAAAGGGGCTTAGAAAATTCAATACTCATAGGAGGACATAATGAA